CACCTCCAGAATGATTCATGCTGCTACCAGACATAGTCTTAGCCAAAAATGTTCAAAGTTACTATGAAAATAAAAAAGTTATATAAAAAAATATTTCACTAATGGCGCGGCACTGTGGTGTAACACGAGGGTAGAGAGCACATGGCTTGACCAGGCCTAGACGGGTCCAGTCGGGACAGGGAGGAGGCACGTTACGTAGGCCACCCGCAGGAAAAAAATATATATTTTTGAAGGAAACTTCAGCCTGTGCAAATTGTTTTTAGGAAACTTGTATGGTATTTTTTATTTCATAATTACTAGTATTTCTTTTGATTTTTGCTATGATGAATTGTTCTAAAATCGATGGTAATTCCTGTACTGTAGTGTATAGGCCGCTCCCCATCCCCCCCTTATCCCCCCAGGTGGTCCCTCCCAACGCTCCCGTCTCTCCCGGCACCACCCACCCACCCCACCCCCTCCTACATCATGCGCCTCGAGTCACGGGCAGACGGGATTAATACTGTACGCCCGCCTCATGGGTTTCATATACGGACAAAGCCATGATTATCCAGCCAACTGTCCGGATAGTGTAACATCGGCAGAAAATTAACCGGCCCCGATATTTTATCCGACCAAACCAGCTTTTATCCGGTTCCTGTGGCCATTTTGGCCGGATATTGTGATAACTATCCGATCACGATTTTGGTCGTATAAGGGCGTTTTCCGGATGTTCGAATCCCGGATAATCGCGGGGTTACAGTACTGCCTAGCTAGTTCAACAACACAAGTTCCATATTCATGCTTACGAATGATCTCTTGTTTTTCCTCTATTGTCATTCTCACATGCGATTTCTTGCCTTGAACCTTACCACTGGCGAGATATATAATAACAACTTTTATGCTCAAATGGCTAAAAATCTGACAAAAAACTGTAAATTCTTGTGAAGAATTCAGGCAGGATAGTCACTGGGCACAGGGCACTGTTAAACTGAGGCGCAATCGCTGTGCCTCTATGTGCTAGGTCGGCCATACGTGTATCAACAAACTCGTATCCCGATTCAAATTTTCTGAAAAATCAGGCTCGTAACCTGAAAAGTTTGTAAATAGGGACGTTCGTAACCCTTGATACCACTGAACTGTAAATGCTTTGCGCAGTTTAAGGGTTAACCACTGCACTGGGCAAAGTGCCTTTAGGCGCTCTGAGAGTTGTGCTATATTTTTTTAATTAGGCTATATTTTAATTAATTTGATTTTAAAGATTTGTTCTTAGACAAAGAACTAAGAACTGTATGCCAAATGTTGAGACATGATGAATGTACAGTGCAACAAAATGTTTACGAAGACAAAGATGCAGAACTGGAAAGCAGGATTGGTTCCACATAATGTGAGGTCATAGATTCAAACTAAGGACACAAAGCCACCAAAAATAAAGATTAGAAAGTTCACTGTTGCAGAGTGTTGGATGGTTGGAACAAGTTAAGTGAGGTGGAGGTGGATGCCAAAAGCATCAGTAGCTTCAAAGTATCTTATGACAGAATAGTGTACTGTAGGAAGAAAGGACACCATGAGTGTAGCTCTCATCCTGTAACTACACCCACTCACCATATTTATCCCTACTGCACCCATACATCATATATATCTCTCCATAAACCATTCAACCACAATATACCTACCCACCATGTATCTTCCCTACACACCCACTCAACATATGCAGATAGTAAGTCATAATGTATAAGAAAATTAGACTCCTAACCCACACCTCTGGAAATAAAGAAGTAAATGTTTCAGTCCGTCCTTGACCATTATCAAGACAATTATTAGAAAACTTGATAAGTGTCCAGGATGAACCAAAACATTGTCTCTTTCTTTTCAGATGTGTTGATTGCTGACCACTCAATATCTGCCCATACCTATGCTCACTCAGCATGTGCTCATAACCACACCACTCACTATCTTTCTGCTCCACTAGGATGTGGGGCATAAGGAGTTACATCTCTCTTATCCTGTAGTTACTAATAGGAAAGCACAACCACTCACAATATACCTAGATCCATACTAACTCAAATTTTAAACATCAAAAACCATCAAAATCTTTATACCCACTCCAATCCTGTCTGGACGGTAGAGCGATGGTCTTGCTTCATGCAGGTTGACATTCAATCCCTGACCATCCAAGTGGTTGGGCACCATTCCTTCTCTTATCCACTGTTGGGCACCATTCTATCTAAAGTGCCATATGTATAGTCGTAATGCCTTGGTCCTTTCTCCTGATAGTTCCTTTTCCTTCCAATCACACTATCACCCCCATGCTCCTATCCCCCCACCCCCACAGCTATACCACAAGCAATAATAATAATAATAATAATAATAATAATAATAATAATAATAATAATGTAGTAATAATAATAATTCAAAGTAATAAATATTTACCCCTTAAACAGAACATCCTACCATGTACAAAAGTATTGTATGCACTGTATGTGAATGCTACATAGCATTCATCTATAGCAATCTGTATATCTTGAGGTTATCTTGAGATGATTTCGGGGCTTTTTTTTAGTGTCCCCGCAACCCGGTCCTCGACCAGGCCTCCACCCCCAGGAAGCAGCCTGTGACAGCTGACTAACACCCAGGTACCTATTTTACTGCTAGGTAACAGGGGCATAGGGTGAAAGAAACTCTGCCCATTGTTTCTCACCGGCGCCCAGGATCGAACCCGGGACCACAGGATCATAAGTCCAGTGTGCTGTCCGCTCGGCCGACCGGCTCCCCGGTCAGAGTATACAGTACTGTATGTTGAAATACATAAGGCCCTTACAAAAACAGTTCCCTGATAAGATAAAGCAAGCTTAGTTGTAGCTTAGCTACCAAACACACACACAATTGTGTCACCAAGGTGGACAGCCCACCTGCAACAAAATGCCTTTTGGAACTGAAGGGCAAGAGCTGCGAGGAGAGGTTAGAGGTGTTAAATATGCCAAACCTAGAAGATGGAAGAAAAAGACTTGATCATGAACATACAAAATAATAATGGGAAGAGAAGGAAACTATCGGGGGAAAGTGCCAAGCCATTACGACTATATAGCACATGGAAGGGGTCAGGATAAGGATTTGGGATGGGACGGGGGGAAGGTATGGTTCCCAATCACAATGCTACAAATGTACCTGTTGATAATCCTCAAATTTTACTATAATGTATCTATTAATTTTCTTCAAATTTTCTTGCAATGTACCTCTTAACATTTTAAAATTTTGCTGCAAATTACCTACTTAAAATTATCTATTAGCATTTTGGGCAGGTCCTTAATCTGTGTATGTGTTAGTGGCTTTACAAGAATGTAAAAATATCAATGCTATGTACTCTCATACACCCAATGTGCCTTCTTGTACATTGAACACTGTCTAAGCTCACTTATCCAAATTATATGGGAAGGATCCCCTGCCAGATAAGCCAGACATTCGGATAAGTAGATTCGCATGACCTGCTCATGCGCTGCTTAACACTTTAGTGCGCGCGGCACTCGTGAAAAAAAAAAGCGCCTTGTGCGTGCGGCGTTCTGGGCGCTCAAGCGTAAACACAAAAAAATGTATAATCTTTTCACACTCCTAACATCAACTCTCGAGCTACGTTTTTCATTTTGGTATCAATGCATTGGCAATAAAATTCTCTACAAGATCATATGCATAAAATGTCACCAAAGCATTTGCTATCCTACCACAAAGTAAATAAACACGAAGATGACTCGCCGTGACACCCAAACAGGAAGTAAATGTTCATACTCTTTCGTTTGTTGCCAGCCTCACAGTCATCCTACAGCGCTTATTTTGATATCACTGAACTCGCAGTAAAATTCCCCACCCAGACATATACCTATCAATGTCTAATTATGTTCCGCACGAGTGTGGGAACTGGGCGAAGCGTTAGCCGTGATTTCAGCAGCGACGACACTGTTGTGATGCAGCGCTTTGAAAGTTTATACTTATTTCACTGTCCTAACATTATTTCTCGAGCTACGTATTCCATTTTTATAGCAATGTGTTTGCAATAGAAAGTTTTATATATAACATTTCTATAAGAACATGGGTAGAATTGGCCAACAGAGCGTCAAATAAATTTGCGGCGAATAAAATTTTACGCGTTTGTACCCGTGAGCGTAAAAAGTTTTTACTTTGCTCATGTTTTTTCAAGTTTATACTTGTTTCACACCGTTTTTTTTGTTTGTATAGTGTTCAGAATAAAATTCTCTACACAGACATATGCATATAAATGTAGAATCATGATCGCGGCCAACACAAGTGTGTGTGGAGTGGGCGATTACCCTCGTTGTGTCACCAACTCAATAGTCTCTCCTCTAAGTTACAATACATTGCCGTTTTCTCAAATAGGCACTGTGCCTATTAGAGAAAACGAAAATTTAATGGCAAACATATTCATGCAAACCCCAAGTCGATCGAGTAGTAAATACCCACTATAAAACACGGTCCGTAAATTTACGTCGTGATCCGACAAGCGCTTATCTAAACCGCCCGTAATTCCAAGTGGAAAATCCAGGATAGTGTTAAGCACGTCAGAGCATCATTTTCACACAAGTGGTGAAAATAAATGTCACCGTTCTGAGCCTCTTTGAGTGGGTCAAGTTTTGACACTGGTAAGCGTATAGAACTCCACTGCTGCTACAACCATGCAGATTGTTCCACGTTAGTATATATAGTAGTTTTAGGGGAATCACTGGCTCACCCAGAAATTGGTGTTTCCTTATATTCAATTGCTAGTTTTATTTCACACAAATAAAATAATACTGATACAGTAGTTGCATTATCATCAGTATTTTTCCTATGCATAAACAATTAAAAAATATTTATTACCCCTCTTGTGAATACTGTAGTGCTGAACTTTGTGTAATTGAAATGGTTTGCATATGAATATTAAATAATCTTGGCATTTTAATTATTACTGTTAAAATAAGAACCCTTCTAGTATTTTTTATGAAAATTATATTAATTGGCATTTGCTTTGATAGGTGTTAGGTGTGTATCGTTATGGCAGAGGGGATGCTCTCCCTGTCGTGGAACAACCATAGTGCAACATTCACCCACACCCTCTCCACTCTGAGAGAAAAGGTATGTCAATCACTTTGCTCGAGTTTCAAGTATAGACCATGAGTATTTTTCTTATTAATATGATCTGTTTATTTATCCTTCTTATACTGTACACGTGTGTGTGCAGTAAGTGTACACACACATGTGTAAGTGTACAGTAAGTGTAAACGACCTAAGTGTAGTTACAGGATGAGAGCTATGCTCGTAATGTCCGTCTTCACAGTACTCTTTGTCAAATAAAGCTTTAAAACTACTGACGGTTTTGGCCTCCACCACCACCTCACTTAATTTGTTCCAACTGTCTACAACACTGATTGCAAAAGAAAACTTCCTAATATTTTTTTGACACTTTTGTTTCCTTAGCTTGAATCCGTGTCCTCTTGTTCTTGAAGTTGATTCCTTCTTAATTTCTTAATTAATTTTCTTCTTCCTTAGTTAATTCTTCTTTGTGAATTTGGTTGATTCCTGCTATTATTTTGTAATTGGTGATCTTATCACCTCTTTCTTCTATCCTCTAGCTTTGGCATATTTAACGCCTCTAGCCTCTCTTCCTAACTCTTGTTTTTCAGTTTCGGAAGCCACGTTGTAGCATGTCTTTGCACCTTTTCCAGTTTATTGATGTGCTTCTAGAGATTTGGGCACCATACAACTGCTGCATATTCCAGTTTTGGTCTCACAAAAGTCATGGACAGTTTCTTTAGTATTTCACCATCCATATAATTAAAAGTGATGCCGAAGTTGGAAAGCGATGCATATGCTCCTCGCTCAGTGTTCTTTGTGTGTTCCTCTGGTGACTGTCTACTATCCAAAACTACCCCCTAGATATCTTTCTTTGTTAGAGTTCTTCAATTCATTTTCACATAATTTGTAAGTTATTGGTTGTCTATTTTCTCCGATTCCACATTTCTTAACATGGCATTTATTCACACTGAATTACATTTGCCACAGGGTGCTCCAAGCACTTATTTTATCTATTGCATATCAATTTGAAGGCCATTACAATCATCTATGTTTCTTATGATCCCCAGTATCTTAGCATCATCCACAAACATATTCATATAATTTTGTATTTCTTCTGGCAGATCATTTATGTAGACGAAGAACATTATTGGTGCAAGAACTGAACCTTGCGGGACTCCACTAGTAACACTTCTCTAATCAGATACATTGTCTCTGATTACCGCAAAGATGAATTACCTCATCTCTCTGTCAGTTAGAAATTTTTTTACCCCTCCAGCATGTTTCAGTTTCCATTGTGTGTGTGTGTGTGGGGGGGGGGGGGGGGGGAATGTGTGTATTAAATCCAAACTTCTAAATCCAAAGGAATTAGGATGCCATTAGTAGTGCAGTAGTCATTTCCATTTTAATAGATCTTTAATTTTTAAATGAAGTCATGGTCGGTTTGGGTGAAGTGAACCAATATTATATTGAAAAGGTTGCCTATCTATATCTTTAAACTTGTTGCACTGTACATAATGTCTGTAAATATTAAGAATGTTTTGTGTGTAATCCATTATCAGGTCTTTGGTATGGTAAAGTGGCATAAAAATATTATGAAATACTGTATTGTCAAATATAATTTTTAGAATCATCATCAAAGTACCAGCATTTTTTGCTTATAATTTTTTTTTCCTGTAGCAAACATTTACTTAGTGGTGGTTATTTAAGTATTCTCTAGTGGCAAATACTGGAGTTGAATGAGCATTTTTTAGTGCTCTTAAAAGTTGCTGTACAATGTAATAAATATTTATTTACCCACAGGAGAGGTACACTGATGTCACACTGGCATGTGATGGCAAGTTCTATCCAGTGCACAAACTTGTGCTATCAACATGTAGCGAGTACTTCATGAGAATGTTTGAAACAACGCCATGTAAGCATCCAATTGTTGTGCTAAAGGATGTCCACTGTAAAGAGATGGAAGCACTTTTGAGCTACATGTATGCTGGTGTTGTAAGTGTGGCTCAGAGTGACCTCCCTCAACTGATTAAAGTAGCAGAAGCCTTGCAGATAAAAGGATTGGCTGTACCTGATGAATCCCTTTGCAGTAATATGAAATTTGCCCATACATGGAGCCCTACAGATGACAGAAGTAGTCCATATCCAAAACGAATAAGACGAGAAGAAAATGGCTCTCAGACTCCCAGAATCTTGGAACCTCGTGCTGGTATTAGTCCACAGTCCCTGACACGATTTACTGGTATTGGCTCTCAAGGTGGGCCACAAGCATTCACAACCATTGGGTCTTCTTTTGGCAACATGATGACTCCTCACAGATTTGCTCCCTATCACAGAGATAGTGATCTACAACACATGTCTCACAGACAAATTCACAGACTTGATCACCGGAAAGACCAAATCATAACACCCAAAATGACTCACAAACCAGAGCATAAGTATGAGACGAAAATGATCCACCAAACAAGTATAAGAACAGACCAGAATTGTGACACAAGAAGAGATAAGGGATCATCTCAGAAAGAAGACCCAATATTAGATAAGAAAACAGACCATCTCTCAGATGAATGTAAAGCAAAAGATATTGATACAGAAGATGATACCTCATCTGATATGCAGGTAATGTCATATACAGTATATAATTAAATTATTTTGAAATTATCATACTATTTTAAATATAAATGTTGGCATACCTATATTTTTTCTAGATTATATGCATTGCTGTATAAATATTCTTTTATAAGGGAGGTTCACAAAGTTCAAGATATGGTGATTGAAAAAAAGGCATATGTACAGTACTAGTATTATACATGAAAGTCAATATAATTATACTGTATTCCATCTAGCAGTATGGGGAAAAAGCTAAGAGCAGCTTAGATGTACCAGCAAATGATACAAGACATAAGGCATTTACTAAAATGATAGATTACAATGTACATCCTAGTGTGTTGTGGATAAAATAGCTTTGGATTTGTAATAAGTGCAGTACAGTACATTCATTAAACACATGATCATTATCCTCTCCCTCATTTTTATGGGATGGGGAGGCATTAGCCAAGATCAATTTTACATAATTTTTTGTTTTGTTTATTGCAGTGTAGATATGTTTTCCATTTGTGAAAGGCTAGTTTTAATTTTTAAGTGTTAAGTTTTTCTCAGTGGACATACCCCAAGTGGTGATGTTCTGAGAATGGTTATACCACTGTATTAAATAACAATTAAATCAGGTTCTAATAAAATTTAATAGAAACATTTGCTCTAAGACTAATCTTAAAGTAGGAAAGCCATTGGAAACCTTTGAACTCTTGAAGCTTTCAACACTGGGGAACCTGAAGAAGAATCACTAGCATACAATTACCAAGACATTTCTGACAAATAATTCTCAGGGCATTGCTTGCAAATAGTTCCCAGGACATTATTGCTAAAACATTCCTAGGAGGGCACTGTTGATTAACAGTTCCCATAAGGTAGTTCTCAAATGGTTTCTGGTACATTATTGACTAAAATATTTTTACCGCATTGTTCACAAAATTTTTACTACACTGTTGATTGATTTAATTTTGAGTGTGCTTCAGTTATGTATTGGCCACACGAGGTTAACTCGTGGGTCCTTATGGGGATGGAAACCTACTCTTTCCTGTCCAAATTGCATTGTTCTGCTTATGGCCATAGATTGTGTAGAATTGTAGAATGCCCTGCTTTTCAGGAGGATGGGAAAATTTACTACAGTACTTGACTTCCTTTGCACCAAATATGCAGTATAATATACTGTATCTATAAAATTCTGTGAATTTCATTCCTTTGGTATAGGTAAGCTTGTTAATTATTTTTCCCAACCCAGGCATAATGTGTGATACCTAGGAATTGTATAATCACTTGGGGTCTTTCATAGTACTACAGTATATTGTAGTCATATTAGTCTTTTTTTTTTTGTTTACTCTGGCACTTTAGAGGTTAATTGCCAATTTGAATAGTTTTGAAATTTGCACAATAAATCCTTGGAAAAACATCATTAGAATTATGCTGTACAACACAAAATTTGAAAGTACTGTATTGCTAATTATTGATACTTTTTAATTTCTTGGTTCTGGAATACATCCAGATATATCCATAAGCTGCTTTAACTAAATACTTTGCTGTTTGGTTTGACATGGGGTCTTGAATGCATTTCCACAAAATCAGTCTGCTAATGTTTTTTTAAATTTTATTTACCCATTAAATTTACCAAAAACTTCAAAATGCTATAGGCATCCTTCCATTCTTGCAACATAAAATACCAGGTAGCTTTTTTTTATGCTGAAATTGTGTAGTTTTTTGTACCTGAAATGTTCTGTTTCAGGAGGTTGTGCCAGTAAGTCTAGTCAAAGTTGAAGTAAAAGATGAAGATGATGAACATATTGACGTGGACGACACGGGTGCTACCAGCGTGTCGGTGTCGTCGGGTCCAGAAGCGCACAAGTTTCACATGTTTAAACAACCAAAAGCGGAATCCAATGACGACACTCAGTGTGGATCATCAGGAACAGAAGGGGTAGGAACATGAGACTGTCTTTATAATGAAGTTTTGTTATCTTGGATATTTGTTTCACAGTTCTCTTGTTGAATCCCTGTTCACAAGTGTTCTCAGAATTTTTCTTTTGACAGTTAATTTCATAGTTATTGATATTAAAGCTATATATGGATAGGTCCATTGTTAATAACCTGAATTACTAATAGGTATCAATTTCTCTTCAGTTGCCTAAAAATTGAATCAAAGCTGAATTTTTAATCATATAACTTTACCCTGTGGAAAAGTTATAGTTGTTGAGAGAATATCCTATATGGTATGATGGGAAATGTGAATACTGTACATATTCTACCTTTATAGGAGCTCACTTTGTTACTGTAGTTTATTTATGGTAGTTTCCAAACAAATTATAATTGTTTACTAAGGAATGAAAGGTCAAGCTTGAAATTACTTGTCTGAAAAGATTTATAAATTTAAAAGTAAATCTTGGCAAGGATCTTTGCCCCCACAAAAATATTAGCCATGTGATTTGACTTTTGAGGTCCAAAGAAGTACAATACTGGTATTTTAGAGCTGTTCTTGTTGTTGAGTTGTAGTGTCAAGTATTCCTCTGAGAGAACAAATCCACAAGGGCCGTGACGAGGATTCGAACCTGCGTCCGGGAGCATCCCAGACACTGCCTTAATCGACTGAGCTACAATCGAACAATCGACTATTGTTCATTTGATGCATCACGTTAGTGTGATCTCTGTGTGTTCCTCTGAGAGTTTGGACAATTTTGGGACTTGCTATGAAATGCTGGAAGTTATGCAGCACGTCAATTGCATATGGATTAAATATTTATATAACGAGCTAATTTTATTTACTGGTATATTTCTGTCCAGTACCGTGGTTGGAAATGGCATTTCTTGATTGAGGCTTAGAATTGACAGTAATCCGAAAACACACCTTTTGTGTGATATATCTATCAAATTATTGTCTTCTTTAGAAGTATTGGAACTCCAAGGATAAATTTGTATTCCATAAAACTAGAACACTAAATATTAAATTGGTATCCCATATGAGTATTGGAACCCCTAAATATAAATTGGTATTCCATAGGAATATTTGAACCCCAATATTAAATTTGTATTCTGTAGGAGCACAGTATTGGAACCCCCCTGAAGATAAATATATTTTTTCTTAGACTTCAAATTTGCAATCTTTTATCTTAGAATTACATGTACACAAATTTTTTGTTTTGTTTTGAAATGGACAAGCTGCTATTGTTTAAGTCTTGTCATTGACCTAATAATAATGTTTGTGGATAAAAAAAAATCAGTTTTGTTAATTGACAAAAAATTTTTGTGCCGTAATTGTAAAATAGACGCGGTTGTGAACATCTCTAGTTGACTTTTTCACTGGCTTTCCCCCACGGTATCCTTGACCATAGCCTGCCCCCTGCTGGCCCTGTGTGTACCTGATCACTCACTGATTTTATTGGCATCTGATACATAAGTCTTATCATTTTTCCTCTGCGGTCTTAATCATTCTTTCATAATGCAGGGCTATACCATATTTTCCCTGTTTCTTGTTGTTCCCGATCTTGTCTCCTGACAAGAGGAAACATCACTCCTGCGTTTCAATGCTCCTGCGTACATTGTCTCGCTGCTCCACTCTTTCAGTATATGGGATAGTATTCTAGTTCACTCACTCAGTATACAGTATATTATGCTGATCCATTCATACATATGGAGGAATTCCATATGTATATACTATATGCATACCTGGAATTTGCCTAACTACATGCTTTTGGCAAATCTGCTAGTTTTCTAGTCTACTACTGTACTTGGATACATTGTTTAACTGTCTTTGCATCTCTCGTTTATTCTGATGCCTAAGTCTTCACCCAATCATCCATATCAAATGTAAATATACAATATTCATTCACTTTACAATCCTTTCTTTTTCAAGAGTATATTATAAACAATTGTGTTTTGTGATAGTTGAAGAACAACATTGCTATGTTGGATGCTGTATAAACATCACAGTTACCAAATTTTTATCTTTGGTATTTATTAGATTTATTATTTTTGTATTTATTTGTTGTTGTGTATTAAGGACTACACACTTGGACATCTGAAGATCCAAATCATCCCACATTTTGTTTGAGGATGCTAATTCACTAACAAGGCCAGCTCAGTTGCAAATCTTTCTAAATACAGAGTAAGTGTATTAATATTGTGGTGAGAGGGGGGGGTCATTATTAATACATGTATATTTAATATCATAATCATATAAAAGTATCATTGATTTAGAATCTAAAACAGATTGAGAGAATTTATCAAAAGCTGCATGCATGAGGATGAATGTTGCAAAACAAACTAGAGAAGTTGAAATAAGATTACATGAAGGCTACATCATAGTGCTAAGGAACAGCATAGTTTTTTTATGATTAAATCATTCTGTCAGTGTATAGATGTTGAGAAATACCTCCAGATTCTGCAATGCATGAATGGATAGTTATACTACTAATGTAGACGTTAGAATAAGATATTCATATGCTACACTGTGTGCCCTCGATAGGGTGGATCATGCTTCAATAGTACCTTAGGTGGAGCAGAGAAAATGGATAATGGACAAATCTTTATACATGGGAACATGGTGCCCTATAGACCCAAGCCCCTTGATGCACAGGACCAATTCGGTGAAGGTTTACACACATTTTCCCCATTATTTACAATTATGCCTTTTTTTCCCCTCTGTACTCTTGGTACAAATTGTACGTGTGAATTTTCTGGACGTGTCCCAGCTATATGCATTTTGTGTGTGCTAAAACAGGTAAACGAAGGGGGATTCCTTAATATGAAAGAAAAAGTTAAATGAACTGAAAAGAGTGACTAGCTAGGAAGTGAGGTAGCTGGCACAAGAGTTTGGGTTGGACTTAGTACCGTTACATTACTGTTTCTGATATAAGAGGTTTATGACTAGTGTAAATCATACTATAACTAGTCTTGAGAATCCTTGTTCTACATTACATCAATAGTACTGTACTGTGCAATATGTTGAACTCATACTTTCTCTACATTGGTTAACAAGGAATGGATTGTGAAAGGTAAGTTAAAAAAAAAAAGGGCTTCCTTATTTTCCTATATTTTTTATTTTAAAATTTTTATTTTCCATTTACTCTACAGTATATATAACGAGTCATTGTTTATTTATTATATATGGATGTGTGAATATTTGTAAAGTTGTATTTTAAAATTTGGGGTTGGAGGGGGGGGGGGAATATTGGGAGTAGTGTACAGTGGAGAAAATATTGACAGTTCTGACAAGTCCAGTCTCAATCCCATAACATCACTGTTCTATTGAGGTTTCACCGTACAGTATTGTTCTTTTGTTGTTCATTTGTACTGTTAACAAATAACTCTTACCACTGGTTTTCTTTCAGGGAAAATAACCTTGTGCTTCAACTTTTCAGTATTTTTTTGTTTTCCCCTATTTTAAAGACAAACGGTTTCAACTGACAAACACCAGTTAAATTTGAAACAGAAATTCATACTTCAGCTTTTATATATTTGTTCTCTGAAATTAAGCACTTATCTTTGAAAATTGCTTTGAAACTGACAATAAATTGAGGTCGTACTAAGTTTTTAGATAATGACGTTACATCCTAGTAAAATGCTATAATGATTAGTGTGAATTAAATTTTGTTTGTATCATTATAGAAGTTCAGTTTTATGTCATCCTTGTGTGTGTGTGTGTGTCTGAAACCCCATCATATTGCGAGCAAGTTATAGCAACACTTTTTTCTCCAAATGTTGTTAGGCATTCGGAGAAAAATATAATTTACCATATCCCTAGATCCCCAAGTGTGTGCTAATCTGTTCATAAAGTGTGCCTCCTTAATACAGTATTAAGTTTACCATCTACTGGTTTGATCACATTGGAATCGTGGAACATTATTCTTAACAGAAATATACCTCCGATGGCATATTTTGTGTGTGAATTATTTGGCCATGAACGTTTGAATGAGCTATGGATGATAAAATTAGTTTAGAGATGCTGGAGGCTTCAAGTGTTTTGATAATAGGATTTAGAGAGTACCCTGGAAACACAAACCGAATCTGTCTCTATTTTCCGCTTGTTACAACTTGTAATAAAGTTGTTACATCTTGGCTTAACGTGTTTATGACGTATTAGAACGTTGTAACAACTTGCTATATTGGTTGTTATAACTGGTTAGGAAGTGTTAAAACTTGTTCGAACGTTGTACCAACGTCGTAGTTTCGGTGTGTGTTTGGCGGGTATGTCGTGTGACTTGACAAACTGTTTCCGTGTAGTAAAGAGATGCTTGGTGTTCCATGCTTGGTGTTCCATGCTTGGTGTTCCATGTAGAGATGTGTTCCACCTCGTGCTTTGATTTTGTTAAAAGTTTTAAGTTATCATTAATCTTGTTGTTGTTAAATATTGTTAGCTTGTGTAGGGCAAAGCTACCAATGATTACACTAAGGTTTATGACTAGTAACAGGTCAAACTGTCACAGTTGCATAGGTTATTTGCTCGATGGTCAACCAATTGATTATTTCTACTAGTGTTTTTATACTTTGGCTGTGGTTAATAAAGCGGATGCAGTTCATTTAGTAATTATGCAGTTCATTTAGTAATTGTGGAGTTCATTTAATAATTATGCAGTTCATTTAGTAATTTATGCAGTTCTTACACGAATGTATTAAATTTGGCCATACATGTACATCAGTAGATGATTGCAACAACGTTTTTCAGTACGTCATGATTAAAAAAATTTAATCTTTAAAATTATTTCATGACGAGGAGTGCCATGCCAAATCTGTTATTTTGTGCCCTCTAAGGAGCATGGCCTTATCTAAATTCATCAAATATTCAAACTATCTTGAAATGTTCAAACAGCTATTGAAGGTGCACTTAAATTATTTAGTAAAAAACTTTAAATGCTTAAGCTATCATTCAGGTTAAGGATTTGGTACTTGCATCGAGTCGGGTACTCTGTATGCAACCAATGAAGA